CAACACTGCAGGGAAGGGAGAATCAAAGACTCTTGCAATCTAAGGATTAGGAAAAGTGAGGGGAACTTTGTCCCCTCCAGGGCTGGTCCCCTCCAGGAGTAACCATATATAGCAGCTTGGAACCCAAGAATTCCAGATGGAAGACATAGGTCACAGGAGGCTTCTGGACACTGGGGATCTGGATGTGGAGGTCTCAAAGAGGACAGGGGGCATCTATCCTGGCTCAGGGGAATACTGGATGATGAGTCCCAGAGGGACAGAGGAGTAGCTGCAGAGCACCCAGTCAGTAGCACTTGCCTCATGCTTCTGCATGAACTAAGACAAACACCTCGCATCCTCAGATATCAGCACTCCTGGTTCTTGAACTCTGAGATTCAGACAGAGACTTTGTATACCATCAGCCCCCCGGTTCTCAGGACTTCAGACTTGACTGAATTAAACTGCCTGTCTTTGTCAGAGACAAGTGACAAGGTCAAGCAAACAATGAAGAAAAGACAGGGCAGAGTGGGAGCGGGAGAGTCCATGTTCATTTGGGGACCTGGGCTTTGGCCCTAGACAGCCCATCATTTATTGGGAGGCAATGTTTCAAATCTACTGCTGAAGTTATCCCATTTGGCTCAAGGAGTGTGATGGCTTGAGCCTGTGGGTGACCCTGAAGGTCTTCAGTGCCTTGAGCTCCAGTGGACTGAGACAGGCAAGAGGGCAAGGATGCCAACCTGGGGCCCACTGGATCATAAGCATGGCATCCCACCTCCTCAGGAAATAGTGTGGCTCAGAGACATCATGAACTGTACAACAGAGACAGCGCCCCCAGGTCATACTCTGCTTTTTATGAACATATGGTTATTCTGTGCAAATTAAAATACACACGTTCTTTGCCTATCATTTCCCATGACATGAATCTGCATCCTTTACCTGCAACTCCTGTGAAGCCTCCTGCCAGAACTGCAGCAATTGGAAGCCCTGGGGCTGGTCTGGGCAGGTAAGAAAGCTATCATACCTGCGCTGTTTACTTACGTCCATCACAGGTGGTTGGTCTCACAACTGTTTTTAACAACAATGTATGCACATAGGAATTCTGCCTTTTATTCAGTTATAGAGGCTCCTGACTGAGTTAAGACATTTTTTCTGATAGTTTGAAGATCTCACAGTGTCTGTTGTCTTCCTTTAGGAATGGCTCCCCAACTGACTCAGTAGACTTGTCTGTCACTCTAATATAAGCATTCAGAATATGACAGTGCCTATTCTTTTCAAAGAAGACCGATGTAGTGGGGAAATCTGGAGCCATCTGATTTTACACCACTTAAAAGGTAATCTGGTTGGTCTTCTCTCCTTGGAGAATTCTTTTTTCTCCTACCATTTAGACACGTTACTATAATATGCCTTGTTAATAGTTCTGGTTAATGTTACTTAGAGCAAGAGGAAACCTTTCCATTTCTAATCTCATTTATTTTCTCAGTCTAGGAAAGCTTTTTTTTCCTTCACTGTATTGATTATTTTGATTGCAGGCAAGCTGCCTTTCATTCAACAACAGCCCTAGAGTTAACCCTGCTAGGTTTTTTCCCCCTGAACCACAGTAAGCCTTTCAATTCTTCTTATTCTTGTGATACAGTTTTACTTATTGAGGATGAAATTAAAAGGTAATGAAGAATTTCAGAGAATAGAAAGGTCACAGCTGGACCTATTGGTGAAAAAATGACAAAGAAAAGAGTATTCTCATAATAAAATTTTCCTACTTAACTAAAGCGTAGGATTTTGTGTCATTTCCTGTAGGTTAATTCGCAGAATGCATGTGTGTATACTATATGAAAATTATATATATATATGTGTGTGTGTGCGTGAATATATTACATACACAAAGCTCTGATTCTTTTCAAGCACTGGGGATGGTTTTCTTAATAATGTCTTTATTATTCACCTAGTTTGCGCTCTGAGCAGTATGAAATGTTGCAAAAAAAGAGAGAAGGAATATAATTTATAAACAAAGCACCTTACATAGGTCACATATGCAGAAGGGAGCCCTGTCACCTTGCAGGCACCTGGTCCAGACACCTGTACCTGAAGTTAATGATGACAGAGGTGGTGCTGTGCACGGGGACCCAGGCTGTGTAGGCTGGTGGGAGGAGAAAGGACTCACAGTGGGCCCCCTACGAAGGTGAGGGCATGAGACAAGGGCCTGAAAAGATGACCTCTTTTCTGAGAAAAGGTATGTACTTGCCAGGAAGCTTGCTAAGGTCAGAGTGCAGACCAGGAGGGGACTGGCAGTTCTGTCTAGCTGGGTGTGGCTATCCAACTTGAATGTGTAACAGAATCAGCTGGAAGGCTTGTTAAACCCAGGTGACTGGACCCCACCCCAGAGTATCTGATTCAGTAGGTGTGGGATGGGGCCCAAGAATCTGCATTCATAACAAGTTCCCAGATAAGGTTGATGCTGCTGCTCAGGGAAAACACTGTGAGAACCACAGATACTGTGTGGACCCTGGCTACATGAATCATGATCCCAAGCCTTGATCTTTATGGCATCAACAGCATTTAACTCCTCCTGTAAGAATCGGCAGAAAACCTAGGCTTCTGTGGAGCGGCAGCTGGAAGGACAACATGGAAGCAGGAGGTATAAATATTCCACACCTCCAGTGTGGATGCTGGGTGTACCTGGGCATACAATAAGAGGCAGGTAAATTGCACATGAGGGCAGCAACCGTGTCTGATCCTTCAGACACTCTCGTAAAGATGTGCAGAGAGCAGCCAGGTGCTGAACTGCCAGGGTGACAGACAAGCCAGGGAACAGGTTCCACGGGTCATTCACTGCAGCTTGTTCACAGACGGCAGGCCAAGTGGAGCTGGTGGCACAGGGGCTATGCCGAGGGGTGGAAACAAATGAGCCCCCTTCCCACCTCAAGGAATGGGGCAGCCACACAGGACTGTCACCACCATTACCACTGTGTCTGGCAGGGCAAAGCAAATGCCTTCAAGAGTGTGGGGAGACCAACATCTTAGCAAGGCTCAGCAGTGGGTTCTCCCATCACAGCCTGCAGTGGCACTCAGATCTGTGAGTCCTTCCTGTCCCCATCATCCTTGCCCTTGTGGCCCTGTTCCATCCTTCATTCTGTTCTGCCCTCTGTTGGTGATGTCTTACCCTTCACTGGCCTCCTTCTTGTGGCATGGAAGAATAAATCTCTCTTAGGAATAAGAAAGAAAGAAGGAAAGAAGGTAAGAAAGCAATAAAGCAAGGAAGCAAGGAAGGAAGAAAAAGAAAGAAAGCAAACAAGCTCAACTCCTTCAATGCAGGGCTTCCTTCCTTTCATAGATAAGGACCTGGAACAAGTTATCACCTCCCATTTACCCACCAGCTCTTTCCAATCTGGCTTGTCTCCTCACTCGACCACTTCTTCTCCTGCTAGGTTTCCAACAGGCATTAATCTAACAGATAGATACCCACAGAGCCATGTGCCAAGCATGGTTCTATGTGCATGGGACCTAAAGGTGAGCACCATGAAGATCTGTGCCCCTAAAGCTTGCAATTACAGCAGGAAGGTCAAGAAAAACATACACACCATGAATAAATTTGATGGCATGCTGCAAGTTGAGGAAAGCTAAGGAAACAGTAGCAGAGCTGCCCAGCAGGTAGAAGGGAATGAGAGGGTGGGAACAGGATAGAAACTGAAGTCACAGGCCCAGTTTAACATGCTGGGTCCAGATCTTTTACTTGAATTAAATTCCAAATGGCAAGTGACAAGTACATTGCCTATGATAACATATTCATGGGCTTTTTAATTGCAGGGCTTTACAATGAAATCCTATGCAAATTTCATGGAGGAAAGAACACAGCCTGAATTGAAGCACCAGAAGAGTCTGCAGTCTCCAAAGGGAGTAATTTTGGATCCAGGGAAGGTCCCCACCACTCATTTCACTCATGCAACCTGGATAATCATTCCATCATGAGGGCACAGAGCCTTTCCTTTCACAGAAGGGTCACAGGTGCAGATGAGGGGCCGATGGGGTGTCTCAAAGGTACTGAGCAGCTAAGGATAAATGACTGAAATCAGATGGAGGGAACAAACAGTCTTTGATTGGGATAGAGGTTCTGCACTAGGCACTTGCCTGGTTGAAGAAAAATGAGAAAACAGCAGGCGAAGGCAGAAGAAAATCAATAAACGTGAAATTTAAAAATTGTGCCATGAGTTTTCTCCAAGCCCACTTCCCCAGGGCTCAGGTATGCAAAAGTTCAGGAGAGAGCACAGTGGACAGAGACCCCAGCTGCGGGTCTCCCCAGCACCTGCTCTTCTCTTTGTGGAGTGGAGGAAGATGCACCAATTAGAGGTCACGAGGTCCCCCCTTGCCCCTCCAGAAACCTAACTCTAAAATGAAGACGTTGGAATGACACAACAATATGCCCAACTTAATTGTTTTTTCTTTACAGCAGGATTCATTCTTCAAATAAAATCTTCAGTAAAACCCAGCACATAAAATATCTAGCAGTGTTGCTGACCTAGGTTTAGGGCCCAGCAAAAGGCCCATTCTTCATCTTCCTCATTCCCCTCCCCCCACCACCCTCATTCCCCTCCCCACAACATCCTCATCTCCTCCCCCATCATCCTCCTTAGAAGCATTTCTGAGAAAAGGGAAGGTCCCACAGAACACCTCTTCTCTCCTCTGGCATCTTGTGATTCTTTGATGTACATGAATCATCAAAATACAGAGGATGGAGATACTAATTTAATTTTCAGAAAAAATTAGAGAATGAAACTGGATGGGAGTGGGAATCAAGTACTCTGGCTAATGTTCAGATTGGGTCACCAAGGCATTGAACATATTGCTCAACCTCTAGAGAGGGAGCCCAGGCTCCCTAAGGAGGCACGACAACTGGATGGAACATCCTCGGGAACAGGGTGGGCGAAGGGAGTCGCCAGCTGAAGAATTTAGACACACATGGAGGACGACTAGGCAGCTATGCTCACAAACATGAAAAGACAAAGAGGAAAGGGTGCCGTGGTACAGACCTTGATTCCAAGTTCGATATTTTCTCCTCCATACACGTCCATCCCAGGGTCCAGAAGACCGATTTCACCAAAGAACTTCCTGTTGACCACAAAGGAGCAGCCAATCATGGCTGGTGTCCTGTGCGAGAGAGGAAGATGCTGAGGTCACGTGGTATATACGCAAGAAAATGTTACTCAGCCATAGGAAGAAGGAAATCCTGCCATTTGCACCCACACGAATGGACCTTGAGGGCATTGTGCTAAGTGAGGTAAGTCACACAGAGAAAGACAAATACTGTATGTTCTCACTCTTCTGTGGAATTTTAAAAAGCCAAACTCATAGAAACAGAAAGTAAATTGGTGGGTACTGGGGGCTGTGGTGGGGGAATTATGGATTTGTTGGTAAAATGGTCTAAACTTGCACTTACAAAATGAGTAAGTTCTGGAGATCTAATGCACAGCATTGTGATGACAGTAAAAAATATTGTATTATATACTTTAAAGTTGTTAAGAGACTAGATCTTAGAGGTTTTCACCACAAATTGAAATGATAATTATGTGTTATGATGGAGGTATTAGCTAATGCTAGGATGGTAATCATATTGGAATATGTAAGTATCAGATCAACATGTTGCACATTAAACTTATACAATATTAAATATCAACTATATCTCAATAAAAAAGAAGCTAAAGTCATTAAGGTGTTAATACTAGGAGCCGTTCTGTGACACTATTCCACTTTGGCAAAGTGAGTAACTTCCCTGAAGGCCTCAACTCCCACACCTCTCTCTCCATAAATCTATGTTTTAGCTTCAGACAAACCAGGGGACCCGAGGCATCTCAGGGCCACAGGCTCCTTGGTAGTTTGCACAAGGATGGGTCTCACACGTCACACGTCTGCAAACATGGGACCTGGTTCTCACTGCACTCTGGTGACAACCATGTGACAAGATGAGCATCCACAGGCAGTCTCAAAGAGGCTCCGAGAGCAGGAAGGAGATGGATTTACTCCCTGACCCAGGAGGAAGAGCTTTACAAGCCAAGGGTGTGAAGAAAAATGGAAGAGGAAAAGGCTAACAGAAACAGGTCTAACCGCCATATCGTGGTGGGAGAGAGTGGATCAGAGTGCTGGTTCTTACAGAAGGGAGAAGACTGAGCCAGGAGACCACTGATACCTGAAGGGGCCAATAATAAAGTGCAGAGAGATCCCCTCAGCCCACCAAGAAGGGGTGTTGAGCAGGAGAGAGAAGAATCTATGGGGGGTGGTGTGTGTGTGTGTGTGTGTGTGTGTGTGTGTGTGGCTAGTGTCTAGAAACAAAGATCAATACTTTATTTTTGTTTATATTGATTCCCTTGGTTATTTCCTCTGGTGAAGGCCAAAGAAAGAAGCTGACTCCATGCAAATCAGAGATAAAAACCATCATGGAAGCATGTTCAGGAACTGATAGACATGCAGCCTTGATCTACCACATGCATCACAATTTCCTGTGATACAGAACCATACACTTCTAATGAGTGATAACATACTGGTATATATTACATATCATATTGTATTAAGTTGAATTACAACCTGTATTGCAGTGTGGTATCAAAAAATCCTTTATTATGTCTTTTTCCCTCTGTTTCCAGACTTTACAGGGACCCTTGTACAATAAATTCATTCAGCAAATACCTTCCCAGCATCTATCATGTCAAAGGCCTTTTATTGGTGCTGTAGGGGCTAGAGAAACATATAACACATTTCCTATGTTCAAGTAGCTAAGAGTATAATAATAATCACTGTTGATAATCATCATCATCATTGTTGTTGTAATTACAGCCATTCACTGAACAATTACTATGTCTCGAGCACAAGTGCAAAGCACTTTTCACACACTGCGTCATTTAAAAACCTCCAGATCTTCTGTGAAGGAGCTTAGGACCATCTCCATGTAAGAGGTGAGGCCCTTGGATTTAGTGACCTGCTCTGAGCAGCAGAGCCAAGCTCATGAACTTCAAAGCCCTTGACTTTGCTGCTTCTGCTTCACCGCACTCTCCAGAAAAGGCTTCGTGGGAGAGCTGGCAAACACCTGTACTGCCAAAGGCCAGAAATGCCATTAAGATACTCACCTGGGCAAAGGAGACGTCCCATACAGGCACCGCAGGGGGACTCCACAGGGGCAGCCAGAAAACTATTGGTGAGAATTCTCTTGGGTTGAAACGTAAACCTCAGTGTTTGATCCTCATCATCTACTCCTTCTGATTTTGAGCTTGACTTTAATGTCCAGACTCTGCCTCCATGGAATGCCCTTTGGTACCCGTGGGGTCAAGCAGCAGTGGGGCATGCTGGCAAAATCAATATTCGGAGTTGAGCAGACTGGTCTGAATGCCGGCGCTGCCTCTGTAACCGTACTTCGTTATGTTACCAGAGTGCTCTGGGCCGCAGTAAATCTCCACAGAGTGCTGCTGTGAAAAGATACACCATGTGCCCAGCATGCAGAGCAGGGGCTCAATAAATAATGCTCCTGTGCTTCTTACTGGGGGGCCCGTCCTCAGGGATTTCCAGGAAATCTCACGCCAGTGGGTCCTCTGCACACAGAGCACTGCCCTCTATAGGCGCAGCCCTGCACCCTGGCTACACAGCGACTGTGAGCCCATCCCCCGCCTCCATTAAATGAACCAGGAAGGGGCACAGGTTTCACACCGGGTCATCAAGGTATGGTTTTCCTGGAATGGAGACAATGCTGGGAGCCAGAACCAGATGTTCTCACCCACCTGTAGGGCTCAGGTGGCTATTCTGGGGCCGCTCAGGTGGCCCCATGCATGCTGATGACTGAGCACAGGAAGGAGGCAGGTGCCCAGTAGGGGTGTGAGACCCTGGCTGGGGGTGGCAGGTGCCTGGTGATGTTGGCCTCCCATCAGCTGACAGGCCTGGCTCTGCTCCTTGCCCCTGGGTCATGTGACAGCCCCTGGGCCTTTGTTGTCTCTCCTCCTTGACTTAAGTCACGTTAGTTATGGTTTCTGTGCTTTGCAACCAAATAATGACAATGAAACATGCTGCCTCCTTGTACCTAGGACTCGGGCAGGGAGGACGCTGTGTTGCACTGCCAGGAGGCAGAGCTTCAGCGAAGATTCCTTCTAGGAGAGCCAGGATCCAGCCTAAGGACAGGAATGCTTGGAGCGGGAGGCACAGCCTGGGAGCACAGAGGTCTGCGGGCAGGGGCAGGGCCAGCACAGGTGCCACCTCAGGGCTGTGGAGAGCAGGCGCCAAGGACACCACAATGTTCTGATACGTCAGGGCAGTGTCCCCCACAGCCTATGCTCAGCGTCTGGGAACCCCCACATTGACACACATGTGCGGCAAAGATTCTGCTCTTTGCAGCTGAGCCTTCTAATCCCTCGAGGGCAAGCAGGGCAGCTAAACCAGAGGGCAGAGTCAGCCAACAAACGCTCTCGCAGGAATGGATTCAGACACAGCCCTGAGGTGGAAAGAAGGTGTCTCTGAGATTGGCTCAGGACCGCCCATGTCAGTGTCACCCTGATGGCTCCTTAGAAAATGCACGTGCCTGTGTGGCCCAAAACCGGTGGAACCTGACTCACAGGGATGGGACCGCGGAGTTTGTGTTTGTAGCAGCAGAACCATCCGGTGGAGCCATGTCCCCTCCAGCTTGTCAGGTCCCCCAGAGCAGAGGTTTCCCCTCTAATCTCCCACAGTTGCAGTAGCTAGTGTCTTGCTGCCAAGGAGCAGGCCGTCTCCAGCTACAGGTGAATAGGTGAGTAGGTGTGACAGATCTGGGTGACAGCCCCGGGGTTGTGGGGGGAAGCTCCTGGTGCCTCCGGAACACTCTGGCCGAACAGAGCCAACAGCAGGGGAGTGTGCTGTAGGTGGGCCTGGGATGGGGAGAGGAGAGGAGAGGAGAGGAGGGAGGCATGGCTCCAGACACATCACTTTTGCTGTCAGGGAGCATCAGCCAGATGCCTCCCAGATTGCCCTTTGGGAAACAACTTTCCCTATCAAGCAGCCTGGTATTTTAATAAAATTGGCTTTATCTGGATGGTATTTTCAGTAATGGTGAGGAGAGAATCCACAGGACATGTTCATCCCCTATCTGCTGGTCACACCTCTGTTCAGCACATGCAACCAGGTTCTTAATCAGAAGGCCTGGGATTCCTCATGACAAAATGAAGAGGTCGCCCAGTGCCTCCTCATGAGAACTAGGCCACAGCAGCCTCCCAGTCTGCCCCTAGGTCCCAACAGGGGGTCACAGCAAAGCAGGCCTCTGTCTGCACCCTGAATGAGCTATCAGAACTCAAAGGTGGAAGGCAGGAGGCTGGCCCAGTGCAGTGGAGACATAGAACGAGCATGTGGCCATTCCAGCTCTTGGTGGCGTGTGGAAAGGTCCTCTGAAGTCCATGGCAAGAAATCTGCCACAGTGTCTAGAAGGTGGCTTCAGCGCCATTCCATGCTCTGGCACCCCAGAGAGGTGGCACCTAACAGGGATGGTAGAAAAGAGAGTGGGACCAGCCTGGAGACCAGCCCCTCAGAAGGTGGCTTCTCTGCTAGCAAAGTCCCCAGTCCTACAACAGCAGGGCTCCGAGGCCCACCCCACAGTGCTGAGACCAGGGCAAGACTCCTGGCAGGTGGCTAATGTATAGTTAGCAAATGTGGAGACCAAATAATTAAAAAACATATCCTCACCCCATCGTTCAGCCAGCCAGCCTTGCTGGTAAATTCAGTGGGACAAGTGTTCTGTGCTTGGGAGCTACCTGACTGGACTGACCACGAGCAGCTGTTGCTCAGCATAATGAGAAGTGGGTCTCCAAAAGACCACCAACTGCCCCTCCTGGCACCCACTGCACCGGTGGCAGGGTTTTAGCCAGGCCCATCCTTGCAACCAGAACTGAGAGCCAAGCTTGGCCACACTTTCGCCCCAAGGCTTCCCTGCCACCTGTCCAGCCATACCAGCCACAGGGATGGGGCTAAGGAGCTGACTAGATCCTGGAACGTGAGCTACAGCTCATTCTTCCAACTCAGCTGCTATTACCACCCTCAGTACAAACATTTCAATTCAAAATCATTTAAAAATGATAATCATATTAAGGGATCTGCCAAACTCTAATAGCTCCATTACAGAGGAGAAGAACAGAAATTAAAAATAA